GATTTTAAGAATCCTGTGTTTGTTAATGAAGTATTGCATGAAATTGATTGCATTGAAACAGATTAGAGAAAGACAAGTCTACTTTGGCGTCAGAAGTGTCTGATCTCCAAGGGATTGTAGATCACGCCACCAAAAATCAGGTATCCCTACCCCTGGTCATCACTGTTGTCGTGTTTGTTTGTCTTTTGTTTGATTTTATTTTAATGCATTCTTTAATTTAGTTTAAATTTGGTTTGAATTTTATTTAAGTCTAATTTGGTTTGAATTTTAAGTTATGTTTCATTGTGTTGGAGAAATGCATGCATTGAATGATCTTAATATTGAAAAGTATTGGTGAACACAAAGTTAACATAAAATATGATTTGATGCGATGAATGAAACTCAAGGCAAACACAGAGAAGCAGAACAAGCAGTTGGAGATGCAGTTGGGAGAAGTGACGGGAAAGTTGGATGAGACGAACCGCACTTTGGGTGACTTCGACGCCGCCAAGAAGAAGTTGGCCGTTGAGAACTCAGAGCTCCAGAGACAGCTCGAGGACGCAGAGTCACAGGTCGCACAGTTGTCCAAATTGAAGACTTCCCTCCAGACACAGCTCGATGAAGCGAAACGAACCGCCGATGAAGAGAGCAGAGTATGTATTGCTTCCGATTCGCTAACACTTCAAGTGTTTGTCACGTAATTTACGGAACCATTGAATTTGTCATTAATTAGGAAAGGGCTTCAATTTTGGGTAAATTCCGAAACCTTGAGCACGATTTGGACGGCGCTCGGGAATCACTCGACGAAGAGATTGAGGCTAAGGCTGATCTCCAGAGACAACTGAGTAAAGCAAACGCTGAGATCCAACAGTGGAGGACAAAGTTCGAGAGCGAAGGGTTGGCCAGACTTGAAGAGCTCGAGGAGGCGAAGAAGAAATTGGGCGTAAAATTACAAGAGGCTGACGAACACATCGAACAGCTCAACGCCAAAGTGTCCGGACTCGAGAAGACCAAACAGCGATTGGCCGGAGAGCTCGAGGACATGGCTATTGAGGTCGAGCGCGCCAACGCTTTGGCCGCCACTCTCGAGAAGAAACAGAAGTCATTCGATAAGATCGTCGCCGAATGGAAGCAAAAGGTGGACGACTTGGCCGCTGAACTCGACGCCTCTCAGAAGGAGTGCCGAAACTACTCGACCGAACTCTTCAAACTTAGAGCCGCTTATGAGGAAAGTCAGGAACAGTACGACGCCGTCAAGAGAGAGAACAAGAACTTGCAGGACGAGATCAAAGACCTCTTGGATCAGCTCGGAGAAGGCGGACGATCTGTGCACGAGTTGGAGAAGTCGAGGAAGCGATTGGAAATGGAGAAGGAAGAGCTTCAGGCGGCGCTCGAGGAGGCGGAGGCCGCTCTGGAACAGGAGGAGAACAAAGTGTTGAGAGCGCAGCTGGAGTTGTCTCAAGTGAGACAAGAGATCGACCGACGACTCCAAGAGAAGGACGAGGAGTTCGAGAACACCCGAAAGAACCATCAAAGAGCTCTCGACTCAATGCAGGCCAGTCTGGAGGCTGAGGCCCGCGGAAAGGCTGAGGCGCTCAGAATGAAGAAGAAACTCGAGAGTGATATCAATGAGTTGGAGATCGCTTTGGATCACGCGAACAAAGCCAACGCTGAGGCCCAGAAGAACATCAAGAAATATCAACAGACACTCAAAGAACTGCAAACCGCTTACGAAGAGGAACAGCGGGCCAGAGATGAGGCGCGCGAACAGTACGCTATGGCTGAGAGGAGATGTAATGCACTTCACGGGGAGCTCGAGGAGACCCGACAGCTGCTCGAACAGGTATTACACGTGCTTTCGCTTGTCATATGAAATACTAATGAATGATTGTTTTGTACGGAAAGGCTGACAGAGCGCGCAGGAGTGCGGAGTCAGAGCTCGCGGAACTGCACGACAACAACAACGAACTCTCGGCGCAGAACTCGTCGCTTACGGTGGCGAAGAGGAAGTTGGAGGGAGAGATGCAGGCCTTGCAGGCGGACTTGGATGAGATGCTGAATGAGGCGAAACAGTCGGAAGAGAAGGCCAAGAAGGCGATGGTAGACGCGGCCCGACTCGCCGACGAGTTGCGCGCAGAGCAGGAACACGCACAGCAACAGGAGAAGCTGAGGAAGGCTATGGAGCAACAGATCAAAGAACTCCAGGTGCGACTCGACGAGGCAGAGGCGGCGGCCCTTAAAGGCGGCAAAAAGATCATTCAGAAACTGGAACAGAAAGTGCGAGAATTGGAGCAGGAATTGGATTCCGAACAAAGACGACACGGAGACGCGTCCAAGAATTTGCGAAAAGCCGAGCGAAGAATCAAAGAATTGCAATTCCAGGCCGACGAGGACCGCAAGAATCACGAGCGCATCCAAGACTTGGTCGACAAATTGCAGCAAAAGATTAAGACATATAAGCGACAGATCGAAGAGGCGGAAGAGATCGCGGCTTTGAATTTGGCTAAGTTTAGGAAAGTTCAGCAGGAGTTGGAGGACGCCGAGGAAAGGGCTGACATGTCCGAGAATGCATTGGCCAAACTCAGGGCCAGGAACCGCAGCTCGGCCTCCACCACACGTGCCATGAGTCCCGGCGTATGTCATACCAGTGCTTATGTTCACTAACTTTCATAACTAATGCCTGTTTTGTATTGTTTTTCATTGACAGCCAATTCCGAAGCCAAGACCAAAGTCCAAAGTTGTTGACGAGGAATAAGTCCATCGATTTTAAAGATTATAATCAATTAAAATCTAATTTAATTTGAAAATCCCTTAAATTTCTTTATAAACTGTTCTCTATTTTTCTTTTTCTCAATTTATGTCTACATTAATGTCAATCACTTAACAGATCGTGATTTTAGAGCAAATAAATGGATTAAACAAAATTAACTAATGTTTTCAGTCAATTCAATTGTAGTTTAATCGGTTTGTCATTGATTTCTTCCTTTCAGTTCAAAATTAGGTTTAATTGTGAATTACTTTACAAAACTAAACATTGCATTATTAATGCTATTATTCCTATAAATTGTTTGTATGTTCATGAAAATTATAGCACAATATTCTGGAGCTCTTTCTCTGCAGAATATACTTTCAATTCAATGAATTTGTATTAAAACAAGGATTACAATAATTATATTTGTACTGTCTCAATGTTCAAGTTTTAAAACTATTACCATAAGAAATATCCTACAATTACCGCCATTGTATCAAACTAAATTCACTCTTAATGTCCAAATATCATAATAAGTTATTATCAATGATAAGAAATTAAAGAGTTTAACCGAAAGTTGTAGGAGTGTCATTTACTCGTTAACTGATACAGTAAAATAGGTACCAAAAAGCCATTAGAGTTAATACACGATGGGATTCCATAGGAGACAAAAACACTTGCATTAATCAATGGATAAAATAAACTAATCTTAACTTTAAATTAGACATAAATTCTTTAAAAAACGATATAAAAAATCTGAAATATAATAGTGATTCGATTGAGATAATAGTTTGCGAGTAAATATAATTGATATCTTATGCTAAAACGAGTCCCAATTTAGTCAAATGATTTCGACATAGTATTGTCAGCTCAGACATGTCGTCCACCACTTCTTCCAACACGTAATTCACAAATTTTGACCTAAAATTATGTCAAAATATTAATTAATATAAAAACTAAAATGTTAATTACTTATACAATAGTATGTTTGAGTGTGAATCTTATAGACATTTTAGCATTTGATATTTAATATCCTATTTTACAAATTATAAGGCAAATCAAATTTTAATGGAAAAACTTTTGCAATTTATTATTTCATTATTCTGTATTCTTATATGAACTGGATACACTGTATTCAATACAGTATTCATAGAAATTTTAAGTAAATTTATTGATTGTTTTGTGAAAGTTTTATTAACTTGATCACTTTTTAACAGGAGTCTAATACTGTAAAATAATCTACTGTAATCTATTCATACTTTTGACATCTAATATTTATTTGAAATAATAACAGATGCTTACTGTAAATACAAATAAATGAGAATTGAATTGGCGATTAGTGTAATCATTTCATAATAACCTAGCTCAAATGAAATAGACAATTCACAATATCAGAAGTTAGAGTGAAATGCGAATATTGAATGATTCGTGTGTGAAAATATGGTAATATCTGAACGACCCCTCACTGTGTCTGTCAGCCTATTGCATGCAGTGGTGTAGTGTTGGGGCAAAGGATTGGCTGTTGGGCTCACTCTCGCCCTCTCTGTCACAGCAATGGCTGTAAAGGTATAGCGTTTTGGAGACAATCTGGTGGTGAGAGCGAGCACTCCATTGCTATACATAGAGTGCCACCAATTGATGCCCTCTGGATGACGACCACCACAATCACCACATCACTGGTAAGACTATTCCATACCATTTACTCGTGAGTGAGTGTCAAATCATGTGAACACACGAATGCATGTGTGGTTTGTATGGTGGGAGGGGTGGGGTGTGTGGGGGTTGGGAGGCGAGGGTGCAGTGGCTGTGTGTGAGTGCGAGTGTGTGAGTGTGCTATGAGTGCACTCTTAAGTGTAAGTTTGCATTCAAAGTGTTGTCGAGTGAGTGAGTGGTGTCTCTGTTGCCGAGTTGTGCCGTATATGACATACATTAGCGCCGTTGCGGTCGTCGACAGTATTACCACCAAAACAAGGCTTAATTCAATTGAATTCAATTGAATTGCATTGAAATCATTGAAATTAGCCGTAAATCGCATGAAACAGAGAGTTTTTGCCATTTTCTGGGCCTTTGTTTTCACAATACATTTCTGCACACAATATAACTGTCAATAAAATGGCGGATAATGTAGAAGACATGGGCGAAGGGTTTAGCTCGAGATCTGACAGTTGATTGACATTCACATCACTAATGAAGACATGATTTGCAGACAATTAACTCAAACGAGTGACTCATTGCAGAAATAATGGCGGAAAACCCATCCTCGGAGACCATCTCCGACATCCAAAACTATTTGCAATCGTTTAACAAAGAGATCGGCGAAAGCGGTGACAATGAGTCGGCTTTCTATGCGATCGACACCCAGAAGTTGGCTCAGGGTATAGATGACGGCACCCTTCAGATGCTGGCCGAACAGGCGGCCACCGGACACACGGCCTCCACTTCGGGCGCTCCCGACGCCGGCTATCAGACGGTGGCCATCGTTCCCGACGGAGACAGCGGTGGATACGTCCTAATAGTACAACAGCCGCAGACCTCCGACGCCAACGACACTCCCGTTACCACTCAGACCACTACCAGCGCTAAGAGCGCCGGCAGTGCCGCCAAAAGTACGCCCAAAAGTGCGAAACAAATGACACGAATCAAGAGAATAAAACAGGAGAAGAAGGACGCGTCGGACCGACCCAACGATATCTCTGTCTATGACTTCGATGACATCAATCTTCCCAATGTGGCCGAAGACGAGACCATCAATGAGTTGGACAACACGGAGGCGCTGCTCAACGATGAAGAGATGGATGAGGCCGATGTAGACGTGAAGCCCAACATCACTCCTAAGACACCGAAGCGCCAGAAGAAGGCCGCGACCGGCACCGTGTCGGCCAAGAAGGCCAAGACTGCCACTCCAGCCACGCCTTCCAACCCTAACCAACATATGTGTAATTATTGCAATTATACGAGTAATAAGAGATATCTGTTGTCCCGACACATGAAGTCTCACAGCGAAGAGCGACCCCATAAGTGTGGCATTTGTGAGCGTGGATTCAAGGTTTGCATCCTTTCCTCCCTGTCCTCCTCCTCTGTGCCCTTTTGTAATGCGCTCATCATATTTGACAGACGATAGCATCGCTCCAGAACCACGTGAACACTCACACCGGTGTCCGACCGCACGGATGTAAATACTGTGACGCGGCGTTCACCACATCGGGAGAGCTCGTCCGACACGTCCGCTACCGACACACCCACGAGAAGCCGCACAGATGTACGGAATGCGACTACGCGTCCGTCGAGTTGTCCAAATTGAAGAGACATATGCGGTGCCACACGGGAGAGCGGCCCTACCAGTGCCCGCACTGCACTTATGCCAGTCCTGACACTTACAAATTGAAACGACATCTCAGAATACATACGGGTTTGTCATTCATAAGAGTTGTCATAATAATGACATGTAGGCGCCAATAGACGTGTCTTTTAATACGGGTTTGTGTTGAATGACAGGTGAGAAGCCATACGAATGCGATGTATGTCACGCCCGCTTCACACAAAGCAACTCACTTAAGGCACACCGACTGATCCACAGCGGCAACAAACCCATCTTCAAAGTATGTCTATATTTGTATGCTTTTTGTTGATTTCATTTATAAGACGATTGCTGTGTCTTCAGTGCGAACTCTGTCCGACCACTTGTGGCCGTAAGACTGATCTCCGAATTCATGTCCAAAAGCTGCACACAAGCGATAAACTGTTGTCATGTAAGAGGTGTGACCAAAGTTTTCCCGATCGCTACCACTTTAAGATGCACCTGAAGACCCACGAGGGAGAGAAGTGCTTTAAATGTGATTTATGTAATTACGCCTCTGTTTCGGCCCGACATCTCGAGTCACATATGTTGATACACACCGACCAGAAACCGGTGAGACATTGATTAGCATTTTTGTCATTTGCGGACTGAGTTTCTAATTGATTTGTGTGGCAATGCATTAGTTTAACTGCGATCTGTGCGACCAATCTTTCCGACAAAAGCAACTGCTGAAGAGACACAAGAATCTCTACCATAACCCCAATTACGTGGCCCCACAGCCCAAGGAGAAGACCCACGAGTGCTCGCAATGCAGCAAAGCGTTCAGACATAAGGGTAATCTTATGAGACATCTGGCCATTCATGATCCCGACGCCTACAAAGACCAGAACATTAACTTCAGTCGACTCAATGACTCGAATCAACTGATCGATGACGACGAAGAAGAGGAAGAGGACGACTCGCAACTCATTGTTCCCAATGAGAGCGATGAGGAACAGACGCTGTCCTTCACATTAGATCCGCAGACGCAACAAATACTCCAAAATACAAATGGAGAACAAGTAGTTGTCTTCGAAGTGGTTCAGCTCAACAACAGTAACAATGATAACGATAGCACAACACTTCAGGACAACCAGTTGGTCACCGAACACATGAATGTATTACAAGCTTCTGGATCTAAAGGCAAAGGAAAGGCTCGCTATTCGTTTGCCCGACAAAACGGCGCCAATAATCCTAATGGTTTGCATTCATATGATTGCCCTCTCTTTAGATTTGTGTTAATTTCTTGATTTCCTATTTGTAGACAATTTTATTATTCAATTGTCTGCTGAAGACGAAGAGGCGGCCAATACTATACAAGAGGACAGTATAATCGATGACCCTGATTATATGCCTAAACCTAATGTCAGACTCGCATCCACTCCAAGCACTTCCAATTCTTCTGCACTCATATCACAGACAACTTCTATTCCTCCGCCGCCACTCATGACTGACGATACGAAGCAATTGAGGGATCAGTTGCAGAAACAGAAGGATTTGGCCAATTGTTTCGGCTTTAAGGTCTGTTGGCATTTGCTTTCGCGTCTATTTCATTGAAAATATCATTCAATTGTATGACTCGTTTAGGATGACGATGAGGAAGACGACGCCATTCTGTCGATGCCTGCAGTTCACGGCCAGTGAGGCCTATATTCTTATCAATGATTCGTTAATCTCTGCATTTGTTCTGAAAATCAATTATTTTACTATCAATTGATGTTTAATCGATGAAATGACTTAATTGTAAAGAATTGAAGAAACGATGAGTGAATTGACACCATATTTGGGCCATTAATCAGAAGTTGCACTCATATTCTCTAAGGACACCACTATTGATGTGTTTCTTATATTTAGAAACAAAATTTTAATAAACAACAAATTCTGTTCCCATTTGAGATATAAGTAAAATTATATATACACATTATATATAAATATAAATTTTTTAGTTCTAATTTTTGTAATTTAAATTAAATTTCCAATAATTATCTGAATTGTCTGCTACTGTGTTGACATTGATATCAAATAATTTGTTATGACTTATTTTAAAGTAATTATATAACTTATAAAAGCATTTTTGTTTTAGAACTTGTAATTTATTCCATCATTTGTCATAAATATTCAAACAATTATTGTTTTCCACAAACCTTTTAAATAACTGAGAGTTTATGAATGAGTTTTGAAAGTTTAGTTTAGACACCATATTTGACTAAATCATGAAATGATTGGTTCAACAAGTATTTCAGATATAATTAAATATAAATTATTCCTATAATTGCTTTACATATAAATAATTATAATAACTAATTAATGTAAAAATAAAAATTATAATAAAAATTTCATTTCAATAAAGCGTTTAGTTTTAAACACGTCTTACAAAGTACCGGTATTTACAGTTATTTATTGTACATTACTGCATATCGTACTACAGATCACATAGATTTACATTTTAAATTAATTTAAAAGGAACTTAAACAATTCAAATTTAAACGTTCATTTTCCTTGTTACCTTGTCCATAAATACCTACTATATCTTTAATTTAATAAATATACCGATAACTGTATAACCAATTTATGGTGTAAAATATGGTCTTAAAACTAATGACTTTTCATCTTGATAATCGCTGCCAATAATAAATAGTTATCTCGGATAATATTGTTGCTATTCAATGATTATTATGTTTTTAATGATAAGTTATTATAAACAACTTTTATAAATCGATTCGTAATTATATTACTGTAAAAGTATAGATGATTGACAAACTTGTGGCCACTTATGATATAACACAATCGTTGCATAAGAGGCCAAAAGTTGAGCTATTGTTGTGAATGAGCCAAATGTGGACAAACGTGATTGCAATCCACTGACAGTCAGTAACTTTAGTAAGTTTTTTGAAAGTTTTCTTAACTCTTAAGGCAATCTCAACACATGTTTAGACCAATGGCTTATCACAGCATAACCTGAACGACAAGTTTTCTGTAGTTTTTAGGTTTTTATAACTTGTTTTTTAAACGATGTGTTCATTTAGTAAAGTATATTAAACCGATAAAAGTCACACAAATTTGATTAGTTTTTGAGTTTTGATTACTATTTTTGTGATGACATTGGTGTTGAAGTGTTGGCAAAATAGTTAACTCATTTGTGTACCTCATTTCATATCATATAATATTGAGGTAAACAAGTGATCGGAGTTGTGTTTAATAGTGATTGTATGCAAATTATGAGCCAATTATGACAATCATAACCAAACAACACAGCAATAAAAGCGGGGAATTAGTGATACAAGTGAGACAACGGTTTCTGGAGGACTACACCAATAACCCTGGTCTGTTTGTTTGTCATAACCCTAACACACAATCTGTTTGACGTTTGATTCAGACCATTGCTATTTTTATCTCTGTTTATATTTTAGTCATATAACCGACTTATTTTTAAGTCTTATAAAGTGCTCGAAGTTTTAACTTATTTTTACTTATATTACTCATTCACACAAATATATTCTCAAATTTTATTATTAAATATTCAATTTTGCATTTAATGATTTACTTTTTTAAACATCTCAATAGTTGGCAATACACTCTCAAAATATTTCTAAAACACTAATTAAATATTTTATAAGGAAATTTGATTTATCTTATTACAAAATATTTTATTTATTTAAAATATACCATATATAATTAACAACTTATATAGTATTATATATTTTGGGAATTTTCTATAGATTAATAATATTAAACTTTAGTGCTAATTCCCTTTGAATACATTTGCAAACTATTAGACAAATTAAACAATTTTGGGAACTTTTGAAATAAATTTTGACAAGAGTTGGGAAAACTGTGCATTCATTCATTCATTCATTTATAATTCTGTAGTAATTTTATTTTTCACGAAATAAAATATTTGTTTAGATTTTTATTTATTCTATGAAGTAATTACAGAATTATATTTTTAATCTACATTTTTAGCCTTCAATACACTATTCGTGTAGAAAACTTGCAAAATATAAAAACATTTTTAGATGAAAAATTAACTAAATCTGAATCATAAACTGAATGTCCAACAGATGTGTACAATGAGGAGGACGTGGAGCGGATCCGTACGAACGACTGGTACGTCAAGAGATTCCTTTTGGCCCGAAGAAGGAATGTGGACGAGGCCTATGAGATGCTGAGGAATACGATTAGATGGCGACAAGAGTTTGGGTTACCGACGATGATTGACACCGACTTCCCGACCGAGTTCTACAAAGTGGGCGGACTTTTCCAATACGAAAGGGATTTGAGTGGAAATGTTGTCATATATTTGCGGATACGAATGCACCGCAAGATTGCCGAGATGTCTGATCCGATTAAGAGGTTTCTGATGCATATCGTTGATAAAACTGATCGTCAGGTGGATGGCAACGGAATGGTTATTGTATTTGACTGTTCGGGTGCCGGCTATTCAAACATGGATTTAGATTTCCTGACTTTCCTCATAACCGCCGGTAACTCCTATTTCCCGGTCGGACTCAAGTATATTCTTGTTTACGAACTCTCGTGGCTTTTAAATGCCTTTCGAAGAATAGCGATGTCTTTAATACCGCAAACATTTTTACCGCTAATAAAGTTTGCCGACAAAAGTGATATCACAAACTATATATCACTCGACAATTTACCCGATTTTATGGGCGGGACGTGTAAACGGAACTACAGGTATATACCGAAAGGATGTCCAACTGTGGCAGATATAGCCGCTAAGAACGGATACACTCAGGAAGACATCGATCGCATTCTCCCAATCTTTGAACCACTTCTAGCGGAAGCGGACAAAGCCATCGCTGATAACAACTATTTGGATACAATTGATAATAACGAAGAGATTACTATCGGAAGCATTGAAATGAATGAGAAAATTGAATCTAACGGTACAATCAGTGAAAACTTAGTTCCTATTAATAAAACAAACTCAAAGCCAAATATATTGGGATTATTTCCCAACGATTTAATGCATTTCATATACGAAAGTCATTCCCAAACATATGAGACGAATATTCTGCTCCAGAATTTGTGCGAAACTCCGATTGCATACAAAATCCAATCAAATAATCCAAACAATTATAACGTTTCTCCGCGTTTGGGAATAATCATGTTCGGAGCCAGTCTTCGGTGTAATATTCAACTCATTTCCGGCAGAAGACATCATCCAAAAGACAAGTTTCTGATTATCGCTCTTCCCATAAATGATCACAAACTGAATGTCAATCAATTCGCCAGACTTTGGAAAGACAATAAGGAGAGTATTATATCATATAAATTATTAACAAACATGAATGAGAAAAACAATCATTTAGGCAATGATGGGGTGGAAGGGGAACAGGATTTGAGAGCAGAGATGGTTTGCTTGCGAGAGAGATGTAAGCAATTGGAAAAACGCCAAACAAGACTGTGTCTCCTCCTCTGTGTTATATTGTTAGCGATATGTCTGGTATCAGGTTTGGTCTTATATAGCCATTCTTACAGCGAATTCTTGAGTCTTCATTTGCAAACTATACGTAAGTGTGCGCCCGAAGTGTTCACTGGGAGTCACACTAACATCAAGTCTTAAACATTACTTTATTTGTTTAGACAATAATTACTTTGTTTATATAAATTTATATTAGTTATTTGCATATATTTTTATAATTTGAGAATATTTTTGGTTTTGTTTTATTGTGTAAAAACAATTTGATTGCAATAATTAGAAGATTTTAAGTCACAATTCAAGAGCCCAAAGAACACCAAATTTTTTTGTGTCGACCATCAGAACACAAACTATTTTTAAGCAATTGAGTCCACATCTGTATAACTGTATTATAACTGTAATGTGTTAAATGCTTGTCTCAAAACTACAGGAAATTGTTTAGACTCTTATAGTGATAGACATCTGATATGACTTAAGAATATCTATTACTTTTGGAATATGTTTTAAAACTGTTAAGAATTTGATGTAAAAATTAAACTTTAATCTTAAATCATTTTTCATTATATTCTGGTCTAAAGTTAAAATCAATATAATGTTGAAATTGTTTTAAAAGTTTACCCAAATATTTTTGAATCCAACATATTGTAATTAAAATAAACTGTTTTTTAATTTTGATAATTGAATGGAAGAAATGGATGAAAATAAAATGAATATTAAATTGAATAAATAAATTTACTTTACTATATTGAAACAAACTATAGAAATGGGAGTAAATGTGGAAATATAGCTCAGAAGAGATGGTCTTTTAAAGTAACTCCAAATGAATATCATTTGTCGACTGTTATACTTCATTCAAGGTTAGTTAGGGAGGTTTGAAACGTAAATCTATTTATATCCGGAGAAGTGATCCAAAGTTAGTCATCTCTCTTGAAGTCTTCAATTACTAGTGGAACAGTTACGCAACAGTTAGGGACTCCTTATTAAGCAATGAAAACATTTGAAAAGTTTGTTGGCTTTCAAGTGAGAGAAATAAAGTGCAATACTCGGTCTCTAATTAGGAAATATTGGTTTTAATTCATATAATCGCTGTTATCATACAGGTATAGGTGAATACAAAACAATAGCAGCAATTATACAATCAAAGAGACAGATCAGTTGAATGCAAGAGACAGGTCTTTTCGTTTAGATATAATAATAATTTTAAAGTTTTTACTGTCAAAACATAAATGCAATTTCAATGGTGTTACAATTGGTGTTACATTTAATTATATCATTTGATGGCAATAATAATATTGATATAATAGTATTTAAAATGATATATATTTTTATAATTATTTTGTTTGAGTTTGTCATTAAATATCTTAAAAGCATTTGCGGTGAACAATAGCAGGTCCGGCCTCGTCGTACTCCTGCTTCGAGATCCACATCTGTTGGAAAGTGGACAGAGAGGCGAGGATTGAACCTCCGATCCAAACCGAGTATTTCCTTTCGGGCGGTGCAATGATCTTGATCTTGATGGTGGCCGGGGCTAAGGCAGTGATCTCCTTCTGCATACGATCGGCAATACCCGGGTACATAGTGGTGCCTCCAGACATGACAGTGTTAGCGAACAGGTCCTTACGGATATCGATGTCGCACTTCATGATCGAGTTGTATGTCGTCTCATGGATACCACAGGCCTCCATACCCAAGAACGAGGGCTGGAACAGGGCTTCCGGAGCGCGGAAACGCTCGCCTCCAATGGTGATCACCTGTCCGTCGGGCAGTTCGTAGGACTTCTCAAGACTGGAAGAGGTGGCGGCGGTCGCCATTTCGTTCTCGAAGTCGAGGGCCACGTAACAGAGCTTCTCCTTAATGTCGCGAACGATCTCCCGCTCAGCGGTTGTCACGAAAGAGTAACCTCTTTCGGTGAGGATCTTCATCAGGTAGTCAGTCAAGTCCCGACCGGCCATATCCAGACGCAGGATGGCGTGCGGCAGAGCATAACCCTCGTAGATGGGGACGGTATGTGACACACCATCTCCGGAGTCCAATACGATACCAGTGGTACGACCGGAAGCGTAGAGGGAGAGTACGGCTTGGATGGCGACATAGACGGCGGGGCTGTTGAAGGTCTCGAACATGATTTGAGTCATCTTTTCTCTGTTGGCTTTGGGGTTGAGGGGGGCCTCAGTCAGGAGGACAGGGCTCTCTTCGGGTGCGATACGGAGTTCGTTGTAGAAGGTGTGGTGCCATATCTTCTCCATGTCATCCCAGTTGGTAACGATTCCGTGTTCTATCGGGTACTTAAGGGTAAGGATACCTCTCTTGCTCTGGGCCTCGTCTCCAACGTACGAATCCTTGTTACCCATACCAACCATCACTCCCTGATGTCTGGGTCGGCCCACAATCGATGGGAACACAGCTCGGGGAGCGTCGTCTCCGGCGAAGCCGGCTTTGCACATACCGGAGCCGTTGTCCACTACAAGTGCGGTCACCTCGTCGTCACACATATTGATTGCTTTGGTTTTGCTAACTGTCGAGAAGTTATGGTATGAAAAGGTCTAACACTGTCTCTTCCAAAGACACCGAACACTGCGAGCGATAGAACACAACTGACTTCAACTGACACGAGAGCAACCGATTTTGGTCTCTCCATACATACTCCACAACACTCTAATACTCCCGATTGTCTGCGCCGGAGTCGCCCAACCACTCGCACATTACTATTACCAAAAATGTCAATGAAAGCATTGGTAGTTTATTTAAGGATCAAAGGGTGTTCTCCGGATTCCTTCCAATAGACATACATTTAAAGCGATTGCTATTGGAATCGAGGAATGCGGAGCTTTCACTCAAACTTATGCCTCTATTTGTCCATCGCTTGCATCCATTAAAAGGTCATTATCTCTATCTTATAAGGCATTCATATTTTCATTATTTTATTCATCGGTCCTAACATTGCTATCCGTTAGACATTCGCCTCTCTGTTTGTAACCATTTGTGGGTTTGTATGACATTCTTGTCTCAACTAACCCTCAAAAACAGTCATCAATTAATACTCGAAAAAAGTTTTAAATAACTTATTAGTGCTTTTGTGAAATGCATTTTTGTTTCCATTGATTCTTGTTTTTCAGATAATTATAATAAAGTTTAATACAGAAAATAACACATAAAATAGGAAATCTAGAAACAAATAAAATGCCAAGAATTGGACCAAATATTAGTTGCATATAAAGAATGCCTGAAAACAAGACGAGAGCCATAAGAACCTAATTAAGAAGAGCTAAGAAGAGCTGAATTCTTGGAGCGCCTGACGTATGAGTGCTTTGCTCTGAGTTTCCTTTTAGTGATGACTACAGCTTATGAGTAGTCGACGAAAATTCATTCATTCTATTCGTGTGTAAGCTATGGATCGCATCCCTCTCTCTATACTCTATAAGCATCGCATCACAGCCTCAGACACAGGGCTCACATCACACCCCATCCCATGCCTTAAATGGGTCTCAAAGTGAATATAGAACTCTCATTGAAAATGTTTACTAAACCAGTGCTCAACAAACAATTAGTTCTTCTCTGTTGGGCTCGTCTTCTTAGGCAAAGACGAGTCACTTCTCTCAAAATGGATTCAATTTATTTCACCAAATATTGAGTTCGCCTTTAATGTTAACATTGCCTCAATTTGGCTGACAATATGCCAACTCTATTATCATTCATATTCACCCATATATTCATCAATTAATACATATTCCTATTAAAAGTTCGTTAACTTCTCTCGCATATCAACTCATTAATCGACAATTATTAACAAATAAATACTTTTCTCATTGTATTTGTTCTTTTAATGATTAAAAAGTGTTTTAATCATGCAGTACTGTCAATTAGTTTACAAATATAAAATCAAGAAAATCAATAATTTTCATTTAAATAATTAATATAAAAATTATTCAAACAATTCATGAAAAGTTGTTGGAGGGATGGGATGGTGTGGTCTACCACTCGGGAACACCGAAGCGTTTAATGACCTTTTGCTGATCGGATAACTCTATTTTAATCTTTTTCCGCATATAAAATATGGGACAATCACAGCTATATTGTAGACAAACATAAACATAATTTAGTAATCAATAGTATTGTATGAATGGGAGTGCAGTGCATACCTCGTGCAGATCACTTCCTCCATCAGACTTCCCTGACATCTCTGACACTGTGTCCACAACTTATTGAACTTAACCTCCATTTCATTGAGCTTTTGTATCTCTACCTGATAGAGTTGGTCCTCAAAGTCGACACAGTAGTCACAAGTGGCTAAATCTGATTGTATGTCAACAATATTACAATCCATTCGTCAATAACAGTTCGCATGACTTACTGTCGTCTTTGAGCGGAGTCTTGCATTTAATACAAGTCTCGCGTTTACTAGTAAACTTGGCGAGAGCGCCCACCTTTGACGTGACCACTGTCTTAGTGCGGGTGTGATCTCCTCCTAAAAGCATTCAAATGTATATCAAATTCAATTCATTCCTTAACTTCTATCCAAAACTCACTTAAAAGAACGGATTCAGTCTTCTCTTTAAAGATGGGCTCAAATATTCTCATCAAAGGTTTAGACAATTGATTCTCGAGATAGTATTGGGTGTCGATTGGAATGCTATTCTCCAACACATACAACGGGTCCTCAGATTTCTGGTAAGCGGGCGTCCCTTTGGCGGCAGCGATGATCACAAACGGAACTCTGTCGCCGAGTTTAGGGGCGGACCCGGCGTCCCGTTTGGCCATTCGGTTGGCCAGTTCCACGTGCGCCTGTTTGGCCGCATACTCGCCATCACTTTTGGTCAACTCTTTAGTGATAATTAGGTTCGAAATATCGACGCGATTGCAGAGTAAGTCAGAAATGGTTTGTTTGGCAAAATCGACGGCACCGTTAGGGTTGCGGTCAATTAGAATCTTCTGAAGACATTTGTTAATCATATTCGCCACGAGTGGACAGTTGTCTCTGCGAACGGTCTCAATGCCCTTGCAGTCCATTTTGTCGTGTTTTTCGGGTCGAGTCCAGTAGAGGCCGGCGTATCGTTTCTTATTAATGAGCAGATAAGGGAAGTACACCTTTTCGAACTCCAGTTTTATGGGATTTATAAACTTCTTTGTGATCTCAATGGCCGCCTGTTGACCCAATTTCATGGCTTCGGCCACTGTTTCCACACCGAAGTTAACCATAACTGAATCCGTGTCTCCGTATATCACTTGAGCGTCTTTGGGGTAGCCGTTGGCCACTGTATACAAGTCTTCGACACACGTTTTGGTCATATCGATCATCATTCGGCCGAATGCGGTCACACTCTGCGAAATGTCAAGACAGGGAAGTTTGCCGACCTGTGCGCCAGTGAACCCGTACACAGAGTTGGCGCTGATTTTCAAAGCCAATTGTCTGCCGTCCAACACTTTGCGTTTCAACGGATCCGTCTCTTTCTTGAGATCTTCTTTAGCCTTCTTTCTGGCCATCAATAAGTCCTCTAAGATTTCAGGCAAAAGACCTTTCCTTAGATCGGATTTAACGAAATAACTTCCGGCAGGCGTTCGGATGTATTGGCTTTCATTCAATTCGTTAAGCTTTTTGGGGTTAAGAAGTGTTGTGTAGCAGAGGTTGTGAGCCATCATAATAGACGGGTATAGAGAGGCAAAGTCGAGGGTTGCGATCGGAACCCCGTAATAGCCTCTCACGGGTTCGATAACGAGAGCACCAGTGAAGTCGTCGCCCTGATCTGGCTTTAGGGACGGCATCAATAGGTCCTGTTCTAAGGCTTTGCGCAGTAACTGTGAGATGACTTTAATCTGTTGACCTCTGGTCAAGAGGTAGGACAGGGGAACGCCCGTCACTCTCGCCATTTCCATGTAATTAATAATACACATGAGTTTGTCAATGAGTTTCAGTGGAAGTAAGGCGTCTTTAAGACAGTAGACGGCCAGACGTTTGCGGGTTTGATCGGTTCCGTTCTGCAGGTCAGTAATGATGGAGTGGTGAACGTCCTCTTTCTGCTCCTGTAGGAAGTGATAACTCACGGCATTCAACGTATAAGACCTTAGCTTATAGTCGCGCAATAAGACCAACAGGAGGTCGAACTGAACCCTCCCCTCAATGTTAATCATTTTGTTCTCTCGTTTCCCCATTTGTTTGGACTGAAGGATCGCTTTTCGCACTTTTGTCTGACTTTTCTTGATTCGTCCCAAAAAGGCAAATGTATTACACTTTATATGTTTAGCCCTATCTATAAGATATCCCAAATCAAAGTTCTGTATGTTATAACCGGTGATCAAATCGGGATCACATTCGCGGACAAAGTCTGCCCACGCGTTCAGTAACTTCTTCTCGTCGTCGAAACACTTGACTTCGTGTCCGACAATTGGCGCGCAATCCTTGAGAGTAAAGATCACTTTAATGATCGGATCCTTCTCTCCCTGTCTTATCACGTAATTCGCGATTTGGATGACAGGATCCATCTCTGGCTCCGGGAAGACACCTTTCCTTCCGGCGCACTCGATGTCAAAGCTTAGTACACGAAAGGGCGCTATTTTAGACCACTGGCCTTCCGGTTGGTATGACTTGAATTTGTTGTAAGCGATGTCCACTTCGAGTTGACAGCGAGAGACCATTTCATCGGCGGGCCGTATGGTGTAGGCGCCGGCCGGCAGTTCAATCCAATTGCAACCGACGACATGCGTGTCCACCATAAACCGGATGTCGAAATCAATGTTACTCTCGTATGACTGAAGACCTTCCGAAGAGAAGGCGCTATTATTGGACAAAATACGAGCGGCCGGTGCGATGAGTCGCGGCAAACACATCGTTATCTTAATGAACGGTATTTTATCGTAACCGCGATATCCATAAATGGACTGCTTTTGGATCAACTCGACCGCCAGAACCGCGTTCTCAATGCCGTCATTGGATCGCATGTCTTGAATGACATATTTATTCAATTTCTCCATAAACTGCTGACAGCCGTCTTTCTTGAAACCAATGGGCGCCGGGATATAGAAATAGGGGGCGAAGCCATGGATGTGACACATAATGGATACCCCTTTCTCTGTCACCCCAAACATCCGCATAATGGGCGCCTCGCCGTCCACGGGTCCGGGCATTCCCTGTCTAACGGGTCCCACATATGAGTCAATGTCTATCTGCTGGAAGACAATGTCGTCGGTGTCCGCATTCACGTCATCCCTATTGGGACGACACCATCGAGTGTTGGTTGAAGTGGTTTCCGGCGCCGACACTACAACACAATTACCATTCAATTATACCCTTAAATACAAACACACATCACATACACATGTCATCCGCCGCATCCATGTCTTCGTCGAGCATCTCCTGCGACATGAAGTCCATGTCCTCATCCATTGTCTGGTCATCTAAGTCGTCGTCGTTGTCATCGTTTTGCCGAAACTTTTTCGGCGGCAACGCATCCGTCGGCTTTGAATTCGTGTTAAAAGTCTTGGTTTTGGTGAACGGCTTGGCGTTGCCTTTGTTCCCAAAACCAAAGCCCTTCTTCTTGTTATCCATTGAATGGTAACTAATCTTGAGATGAATGCGTGAATCAAATGAAGTGACAAACCATTGAACGAAACGCACAATACTTTTGGCGCTATTTTCACGACTAATGCAATGAAACCAATGCTGTCCTACACTTGAGTCCACACTTGAGTCACTTGTTGTTGAAATGGATTCAATGAAATATACTCTCAATTAGTCTTACATTTGAAACCAATTCATTGGCTTTTGGTTTATGAATGCATTCATCGGTTTATAACTAAATTAAAAGTTATCTCTAAATGAGTTTAACTGTAAATACAAAACGAAACGAAATTTATGAACCAATGCTTGAAAATTGTGAATTTTAATGTGTTAACTAATGCAGTTTTATGGGCCCTTTATATATAGAAATACTGAACATATACTAAAGTGTATGAATAGATAGAAAAGGTTCGGAATGAGTGTTTGACTGATTGGACTGAACATTGCTGGACAACGCGTTGTTTAGCCGACAAACCCATTGACCGCTCGAGCAGTGAATTGATTGTATCGTTGGACACAGACATCAGTGACACGGACAACACGATGGCGTACAAGGGGTCGCAGAAGATCCAGAAGGTGATGGTGCAGCCGATTAACCTGATCTTCAGGTACCTGCAGAACAGGGCCCGCATTCAGGTGTGGCTAACGGAGAACATAACGATGCGAATCGAGGGACATATCATTGGTTTCGATGAATACATGAATCTTGTGTTAGACGACGCGCACGAGCTCTACGTCAAGACACAGGTCCGCAAACCCATCGGGAGGATACTCCTGAAGGGCGAGAACATCACTCTTATTATGTCCACTCAGACACCATAACCACTGACACCATAAGCCACTGACCACTCATGCCATAACCGATGGTGTGTTTCATATGATATTAACACTTATTTGTCATTTATTTTGTCATTAGTTTTGCTATAATTTATTGTTTAATAAAACAACAGTTCATATAAATTGTATGTCTTTTTGCGAGTCATTGGTGTTTGTCCTAAACGGCCAGTAAGTCGATGTCAACGAATGATTTGCTGTTGCGGTCAGTATTGGCATCTAATAGACTGCTCGGCACCACATTCTGGCCGTTATCTCCACTGATGGACTCATTGCTCTTTAATGTCTTCAGCAAATCCGATGAGTATTTGTCTCGATTTGCTGTCACTTGATGTCTCACTCCTCCATATATCTGGTGATTGTCTGAACGACTCTCTGGTATCTTAAACGGAGTCCATTCCTCTACTTCTGAATCACTAGTGACTGAAGTGTCGGTGCTTTCATTGTCTTCACTCGAGTCCATAACATCAATGAATTCATTCACTTTGCCATCGATTAGAAGACGATTCCTTTTGTCACGTCCTCTGCTCTGGTGTTGTGCGGATGTGTTGAGTAAATTAAATCTCAAGACAACAAAAATAGTTGAAAACGAGAGGAATATGAGTGACAGAGAAAAGAAAGCGAAGGAAAGTGTGGACAACATTGACAGCAATGAAGAGTTTGTGTGCGAAGGCGAGCGGCAAATGAACGGCGAGTTTAGAGAAGAGATTTTGAATGTCTTAATGAATGCACTGAAGAGACGGACACTTTGAAAACGACTGTAAAGTATTGAACACTACTCTCAATAATGCTATGAATCTCGTGAATCAAGTAATCAGTGAAACAATGAATCAAATCTCGTGTCACTTGAAAGCTGTTTAATATAACTTTGAATTCAAAGTCAGTTAACAGTTATTCAAAATTCTAATCAATCTATAGGACAGTTATGGGACCTACACCTCCTGCTAGCAAAACCCCCTCTAAGGGCGGCGGCGGTCAGGATAAGACACAAAAGACTGATTCACTGAAGAAGACAGACAGCGCTTCGAAGACCGGAAGCAAACCGAACGACAAGGACAAAGACGCGAAGAAGACGGACAGCAGTCCAACAAAACCGGCCAAAAGTGGAGACCCGTCTCTGAAGAGCACTCCAAACATCTTCAAGTCGGGCACCAAAGAGAGCGACAAACTCAAGACATCGAGTGATGCGAACAAAGCGGGCACTGGAGTGACACTCAAAGACCCCACGGATAAGGTGTCCAAAAAGAAGAGCACATCCCACAGCACTTTCGATGCCTACTCTATAGCCAAAAGTGGCAAAGGAGTGAAACCCAACCCAACCGCCAAAGACCCCGGAAATATGACCCCAAATGCCAACAAATCAGACAGCAGTCCCTCGTCGAAGCCCTCCGACAAAGACAAAGGCAAAGAGAAAGACAAAGTCGAGGCCACCAAAGGAGACAAACCCAATATGACGCCCAACGTCCACAAGACGGGCAGTGGTTTTCGGACTGATTCTAAGGGCAAAGGATTGAGAACTGACTCGAAAGGCAAGGGCTCGAAGACTGACTCAAAGAAGGGTAGTTTGGATGACGACTCCAAAGGTCAACACAAACCTAATAAACCAGTGAAAGAGCCGCCCATAAAAGGCACTTCAAATGCGTGGAAGACTGGCACTGATTCCGAGGCCGACAAGTCCGCCGACAAACCCGACAACAAGTCCGCCGGTAAAGGGACTGAAGACAAGATGGAGAGCACTCCCAACGCAAACAAAGGTGACGGCGGTTCTGGCGCTGACTCTAAAGGCATGAAACCTATGAAGACCGTCAAAGAGCCGGGAGAGACAAAAGAGTCGGCGTTCAAAGGAGACAAAGCAGAGGGACCTTTCGGTGCTAACAAACCATCGGATGATAAGCCAAAGGGCAGTGACGACGCACTCAAGACAGACAGCGCTCCCGCTTCTGATAAACCCTCGGATAAGGCGAGTGAAGACAAACTGAAGATCACTCCCAACAAATGGGACGCCGATTCTCTTCCCATCAAAACAGACAGCTCTCCCGCTTCTGGCAAACCCTCGGATAAGGCGAGTGAAGACAAACTGAAGACCTCTCCCAACAAATGGGGCGCCGATTCTCATGCCATCAAACCCTTGAAAGAAGGCAAAGATGCCGAACATAAGACGCCTAATGTCTTCACAACAGACAGCGACGCGACGGCCAGTACTGCAAAAGACGCGGACAAACAGAAGGGCTCTGACGGCGACAACAAGACCAGCGGATCGCTGTCCGAAACTCCCAGTTTCTGGAGTACTGGCGCCAAGAAGACCGACACGAAGGCCGCCACCACTCAGACGACGACCGACGCGTCCACTCAAACGACTTCTGATGCCTCGACTCAAACGGAGAGACGAAAGACTCCTAACATATGGGGCGC